ACAACACAGGTGAATCTATAGGACAATATGCTAAATGAAATATGTCAGGCATAGAAAGAAATAATAGATGATCTTGCTTATATGTGGCATCAAAAAGTAGAACTCATAGAAACAGAGAATCTAATTTGTGGTCACCAGAGGTTGAGAGTGGGAGGTGGTAGATGTTGACCTAAGAGTAAAAAGCGTATTTAAACAGGAGGAATAAGTTCTGGTGATCTATTGCACAACATAGTGATGATAGTTGGTAATAACTTATTGCATATTTAAAACTATTAAGAGTACATTTTAAGTGTTCTCACCACAAAGAAACATTAAGTATGTGAAGTGAGATATATTAATGTGATCATTCCACAATTTGTATATACACCAAAATATCACTTTCCACCAGATTATGTTATACAATTATTATTTATAAGTTTAAAATAAGTTTTTAAAATCATGTTTAGGCCATTTATACTTTTTTACTGGTCAACTTAGATAAATAAATTATTTTAAATCTAAAAAACTTAAAAAGTGTTATGTGAGAGCTCTATGAACAATTGTATGTCAACAAATTAGATAATTTATATATATGGGACAAATAGCTAGGAACACACAACCAACAAAGACTGAATCATGAAGAAATATAAAGTCTGAATAGATCTGTAATGGTAAGGCTATTGACTCAATAACCAAAGACAGAAAATATGCTCTGAGTCAAGTGCAAGTAGGAATTTACTGGAAGCTGTCAGGCAAGTCAAATTATGATAATTGCAATTCTCTGGAAATAGGGCTCTACTGGGGAGCTCAAAGCCCATCTTGAAAACTTAAATGGCTGCCAGGCTGATGGTTCACATAACTACCATACTTGTAAAGCTGTTGGTTTTCAAAGACACTATTGAGCTGGGAAGAGATCAATAGGAATAGATCAAGTTTGCATGTTACTAATCTCAATCTTCTTAGCAAGATCGATATTTTTTCTAAATAAAGAGTTCTCAGACTGCTACAAGACATTGGATAATTTCCAGAGATTTAAAAACCTGATTTTGACAAATTTTCATGTATTCTTGTTGCTTTTATTAAGGAATGTGTA